AAAACGATGTCACAATTTAATCGACCAAACTCCATGCGCTTCAGAGATTATTTCTTTGTCTATAAAATTTGTTTAAAGAAAAAAAAAAGGAGAAAGGAAAAGAAGACGGTGACTATATAAATAGTTGGAAAAGATTCATCGTAAACGCGACATAGGAAATATGTCGATATTTGTTCACGGAAGTTGGGAGAGGGAAAAGAAGGACGGTAAAAATCATTGGGCCGTTTGATTCGTTTAAAAGGTGTCTCTGTCGACTTCACTTCGAACGCTAGAGTGAGTCGTTCTGCGCTGGTGATTAAAGTTAAATTAGTAGAAGAGCAACGAAGACAGAGAGAATATTTTCGCGTGATGTGCGCCTTCTGTTTTAGTGCGGCTGCTATGTTAGCTAGGACAGCGTATACCGGACTAGTATACAATATTTATATAATATATAATATAATAATAATATAATATATATATATATATTAAAGTTAATCCTAAGGATTCGTGTCGCTTCGTTTCAATTTTTTTCGGGCTAGGCTTGGATTTCTCTAAAACTTATTTTAGGTCCCAACACGTGCTTCTAACAGAACACAACAAGTTCACGATAAATAGAGAGGTAAATTCGAAAGTTTAAACAATCGTTGAACGAGTTGTATGAAAGAAAGGATGGCAAGATCTCTAGAATAAATTGATAACAATGGATCGACGAATTGGAAATCACGTATTCAGACCTATCGTGTTCTCAGCTATCTTCTCGAAGAAGCGATAATTAGCAAAAGGCAGTTTGAGCAAAAATCTCTTGTAAATTCCACCTAAATTCTTCGTACATCTCGTTGTACACACCGAGGTCGTGTAACGTAGAGAACCGATTATATTATTGGTCAAATTTTCTTTAATAATAGACCATTCGTGTGTCCATTCGATCGCCTCGCTACAAAATAGCGCGGTTACAGTTTTTTTCGGACTATTCGATATCCTCTCCCCACGCTTTTTTGCTCGAGCAGCTTAACTGCTGTGACTGTACGCCGTGTTCGTGTAAGGTCCGCTGTAAATGGACGAGCCCGTCGTCGATACGGTCTTGTGCCGTCTCTTCGTCAACAGTACCAAAATGGCCGCAACCACCGCCAGCATGAGGATCAGACCCGCGATCGCGATGCCGATGGCGAAGCTCCTTTGCGATATGCAAAAGCTGTTCGGATCGTCGACGGTCTGAAACGAATTAGAAAATTCAGATTCGTGAGAGAATTTTAAAAAGAGGGAATATAAAAAATTAATGAATTTTCTTGGAAAAGTACTACCATTGAATCACAATTGCTTTTCCTCTCTAGGAAAGCTGTTGAAAGAATACAGGTCTTACCCTTTCTCTGAACACGTCGTCGGTGAAGTCCGACTTGGAAGCAACGTCTGACGCTTCGTTCACGTACAAACCGCTGTAAACCTCGATAGTAGCCGGCGTCCCTCCGTCCAACCCCTCCACGCCTTTCACCGTATCGTCGTTGACAGTGTCCCTGCGTCGTCTGGATATCGAATTACACGCAGGTGGCTACAACACAACGAAGGATCCCTTTTTGGAATCTTTCCAAACAACGAACGCCTAAGAGTCTAATAAGAGGTGGTTTTTGTTTACATAGTATCGGATTACAAGATAACGAGGTAAACACGTGAAACTTGGAGAACATTCGAGAGAATTCGTATTTTTACCGTGTTGCTGCATCCTCCATCGTGTTTCACGCATAATCTGACGTTGCATTGATAGTAAACGCTCGCTGTATAAGGGAACTTGTGCGCCTGGAAATCGACCTTTGCCTCGGTTTTATCCTCGTTGTACGTGAATTCTCCCATGATTTCACCGTCGACCGGGCATCTGCAACCAATAATCCCCCTTTTAAAACTCAACTCATTCTTTTTTTCATTTCTTTTTTCTCGAAAGATCGGAGGATCCGAAATTTGCGCGCATTGTAGACCGAGTCGAAGGAGGGGAGGGAACACAATCGTGCGCGCGAGCGTATCCGATGCGTATTTGCTCGTGACGAAGGAGAGGCGAACCGGGAGGGGTTTTTTCGTCGCTCCTCCTTCCCCTCCGTTTGAATAATTCATTCAATGCCCCGATCTACGCGCGCATTCGCAATTTATTCACGCCGCGAATGAGAGAAGAATCGAGCTCTTTCCTTCTCTTATTTTATTACTTATTTCCTCGAAGAGGATCGATATCGATTTTCAATCAACGATCGGGAAAAATAATATTAAGAGGGGAGAGGAAGATTACCCTTGGTCGTTTATGAGCCTCTGCTCGCCCCATCCCAACCCGTCGCGCACCAGGCAGTCGGATATCTTGAGGCCGAACATTTCCTGTTTGTCGATGTTAATGACCAAGGTCAAAGGATCCCCGATCTTCACGTTTTCCGCCACTTGATGCCTCGTCGGATCCCCGCTGAAGATCTTCATCGTGCATCCCGGCATGGGAGCCGTTGCCTGTCACACACGTAAACACACGTAAAACGCAATTTATTATTTATTCATCCACGAGAACGACGTTCTCTCCTCGCGAGCGATCGTTCGCCCCCTTCCGTCCAATCGCTTCGTTTCCATTTTTTGCCGGTGGACAAGAAAAAGCGCAACGATGGCGGCGACGACGGCGCTTGCCAGCCGTGTATAACCGCTAAATTGGAAAATAGAGACTCGTACAAGCCTCGAATGGTATAATCAGCGTTTGATTCTGAGGGGAGAGGGGAAGGGTTGGTATCAAGCGATTTATAGCCGGCAAATTGAACGGATGTGTGTCTTGTTGAATAAGGAGGAGGTTTTAGAGAGGAGGGAACGGAGGTTGGTTTTACCTACCTGGAGCGGTAGGGATTGCAGCATGGCCACGTGGGTTTGATCGTTCGTTACCACTTTGTCCCTCGTTTGATATCGGCATCTCACGTGGAAACCCCTGCCCTGATTCGTGACCAGCTTCAGGTGCGGCTGGACAACTATCGTGTTGAAGTACTCGATACCTCCGTCGTCCTGCGAACGAAATTTCAAATTTCAATTATTTACACGTTCGTGGCGAAACAAAAAAGCGTTCTTTTTTGAAGAAGAGTCACGACGAGAGCTAGTGCAATTAATATCAATTTCGGGCGATATGAGAGGCATCATTCGCGTCAGGAAATCGGATATCGAAATTTGAAATGGTTTTGCGCGCCACTGGGAGAAAACGGGGAAAAAAACGGTGAGAAAGATTCAAAGTCAGAAATTTTAATTTAAAGAAAGTTCGATGGAATCGCTCGACGAAAATCCGATCCAGAAGAATTGGAAGAATAGATATCTATCCTAAATGAAACGATTAAAAATTTTTTACCCGATTTACATAATAAAATTTGGAAAGAAAGGAAGAAAGAACTTATTTGCACACTTGATATGTTCGGATAAAATCGAGAATCATCGATGTAACGAGTCCAAAATATCAATCGTCCATTTCTCTTTTTTGTTATATATATATTTTCCCTCGAGCTATCTCCGTTTTCGAGGAACGGAGACAAGGCAAGGTAAATCGAGAGGCGTGCCATAATAGGCGATTCTTATCCGCACCGCCTATATTGTTCGTCGAAGGAAGCGAGTTAAACGAAGCCGGGTCCTCGCGCCGTTGCAATTCTCGTTTACGAGCGTTTCGGTGACGCCGATCACGTTTCCCCTCGCGAACAATCCGTCTGTCCTTGCGCACCCCGCTAGCAAAAACCGGACCATTCGCTTCCCTTCTAGTTCGTTCCTGTCCCGAGCCGAGAAAGGAGCGCCACTCTTCGTCGTTTCTTCTCCCCTCCTCCTCCTCCTCCCCACCAGTAAGCCCACTTTGTTCCAACGCCAACTCGTTTCCCTTTCGTCCAGAGTTGGACATCGGTTAAAAAAATTTCGAGTGGAAAAAATTACTCGTCGAAATAAAAATTAATTTATATTATTACGGTCGACCTCAATTTTTCTCAACTATTCGCGATTATTGCTACGAGGTTTCTAACGATTTCAATTAATCGAAGTAACTTTATTCTGAAATGAAACTTCAAACTTGTCAAATTTTAACTCCGTCACGCGTTGCGAGTCGAGCTCGGAAATCGGATGGTTCGTTTAAATCGATCTCGAGGTATTCCTTATGAAAAGTTATATTCGTCGTGGAAAGGAATAGTTTCGTAGGCTTTTTTTCTTCTTCTTCGTAATTCGCTATTTGGTATTAACCATTTAATTTTCCACGTCGATTAACTCTCCTTTTGGCGCATTCATGCGTGCTATCGAATCATTATCATTAATGCGAACGATAATCGCCGCTAATGAGTGTAATTCGCAATCGAAACGCTTCCTGCTAACGGACGGACAATAAGTGTAATCGAACGACCGCGATGCCCGTTCTTAGGGAACAGGGACAATTATCCGTAAGCGATTCCCCGGCCACGATTACGCGTTTTGCTCGTATTCCAACGATTTTCCATACGATTTTCGTTTCGACATATATATATATTGAAATCGATCGATTTCACGATCGATTATCGTTAATTATCTCGATCGAAAGAATAAGATAGTTTGACGTGTATAAATAGATATATATCCGTGAGGAGTATCGGTGGTGGAGGAGGCGAGACATTGTAAGGCAAGAAGCGCGACCTTGGCAAGATCTTCTTCCGAGAAACGTGGAGCCGTGTTCGCCGTTCTCCACGCGATATCATTATCGTCATTAACGTGTTAACGCAACGCGGATTAATTGTCCTCGTCTCTCGTTTCATATCTCCTTCCCTTCGTTGGATTGTTAATCGCTAACGAAGCGCGATATATAAAAAAATATATATTCTCTCGAATTAATCGAGATAGTAGATCTTATCTCCATTCTTCTCTGAACAATCTCTCGATTCTTCGAGTAACGAATAATCCACACGGTATCATATTCGAAACGATCAGATCGAAGAGGAAAAAGAAGAAGAAGGAGAAGAATCTTTAATTTTCGAATCGATCGAAGAAGGAATAATTTTACGCGGATGATGATGATAGGAGGAGTTTGGAAGGGGCGCGACCACTTCCTTTCTCTTCGACCACTTTCGAACGAGAGCGAGAAAGGGGGGAGGTGGGAAGGAAAGGCTGGGCGAAAATTCTCAAGGTACACAGGGTATATCGAGCAGGCAACGACCTTCGACGAAGCTCGCCGTCCGACCTCAGCAAGGATACTCGCAATCTGCGCGGTGCATCGGCCCGTGCCTCGTCAGAGACTCGCTCAGTTTACGTTTCGCACCTACCTAGCAACCAAACGGGCCACCGATTTTTACGGTTAAACATCCTCGATCCCCCTCTATTTCGTTCGCAAAATTTCCCTCGAAACGTACGTCGCGATAGCTCTTCTATTTATAAGATTCTTTTTATCGGGGATCGGTATATCTGAATCGCATTGTTGCCAAGTTTTTGTCACAACATCGCGGACCCCTTCATGCGTACTTTATTCACAAAATTTTCAAGAAAAGATATGTCTTTACAAGATTTCTCGTCGAAGGGGATACTCTGTTTACAGACAAGATTTTTCGATCATCGTATTCTGAATCGTAATTTTTACGGTTTAATGTAAAAAAAATGCGTACTTTATTCACAAAATTTGCAATAAAAGATATGTCTTTACAAGATTTCTCGTCGAAGGGGATACTCTGTTTACAGACAAGATTTTTCGATCATCGTATTCTGAATCGTAATTTTTACGGTTTAATGTAAAAAAAATGCGTACTTTATTCACAAAATTTGCAATAAAAGATATGTCTTTACAAGATTTCTCGTCGAAGGGGATACTCTGTTTACAGACAAGATTTTTCGATCATCGTATTCTGAATCGTAATTTTTACGGTTTAATGTAAAAAAAATGCGTACTTTATTCACAAAATTTGCAATAAAAGATATGTCTTTACAAGATTTCTCGTCGAAGGGGATACTCTGTTTACAGACAAGATTTTTCGATCATCGTACCCTAAATCGCGTTATAATTTTTACGGTTTATTCGTAAAAAAAATGCGTATTTTATTTACAAAATTTTCAAGAAAAGATATGTTTCTTCCATTTAAAAGATTTCTCGATTCGTGATCGGTATAGCGGTATATCTGAATCGCATTGTCGCCAATTTTTACATCGCGGACTCCTTCATGCGTATTTTATTACAAAAAATTTTCAAGAAAAGATATGTTTTTTTCATTTACAAAATTTCTCGCCGAAGGAGATATTCTGTTTACAGATTTTTCGATCATCGTACTCTGAATCGCGTTGTACTTTTTACGATTTATTCGTAAGAAAAATGCGTACTTTATTCACAAAATTTTCAAGAAAAGATATATTTCTCCCATTTAAAAGATTTCTCGATTCGTGATCGGTATATAGCGGTATATCTGAATCGCATTGTCGCCAACTTTTACATTGCGAAAGGAATACTCTATTTACAGACAAGATTTTTCGATCATCGTACCCTAAATCGCGTTGTAATTTTTACGGTTTATTCGTAAGAAAAATGCGCATTTTATTTACAAAATTTTCAAGAAAAAATATGTTTCTTCCATTTAAAAGATTTCGATTCGTGATCGATATATCTGAATCGCATTGTCGCCAACTTTTACATCGCGGACTCCTTCATGCGTATTTTATTACAAAAAATTTTCAAGAAAAGATATGTTTTTTTCATTTACAAAATTTCTCGCCGAAGGGGATATTCTGTTTACAGATTTTTCGATCATCGTATCCTGAATCGTAATTTTTACGATTTAATGTAAAAAAAATGCGCATTTTATTTACAAAATTTTCAAGAAAAGATATGTCTCTTCCATTTAAAAGATTTCGATTCGTGATCGATATATCTGAATCGCATTGTCGCCAACTTTTACATCGCGGACTCCTTCATGCGTATTTTATTACAAAAAATTTTCAAGAAAAGATATGTTTTTTTCATTTACAAAATTTCTCGCCGAAGGGGATATTCTGTTTACAGATTTTTCGATCATCGTATCCTGAATCGTAATTTTTACGATTTAATGTAAAAAAAATGCGTATTTTATTCACAAAATTTTCAAGAAAAGATATGTTTCTTCCATTTAAAAGATTTCTCGATTCGTGATCAGTATATATCGGTATATCTGAATCGCATTGTCGCCAACTTTTATATTGCGAATCCCTTCATGCATATTTTATTACGCAAAATTTTCAAGAAAAGATATATTTTTTTCATTTACAAAATTTCTCGTCGAAAGGAATACTCTGTTTACAGACAAGATTTTTCGATCATCCCTGATCGTACCCTGAATCGCATTGTAACTTTTACAGTTTATACGTAAAAATCGTGCGTACTTTATTCACAAAATTTTCAAGAAAGAAAAAATATATCTGTTCCATTTACAAGATTTCTCGCCGAAGGGGATACTCTGTTTACAGACAAGATCGTACTCTGAATCACGTTATAACTTTTACGGTTTATACATAGAAATCGTGCGTACTTTATTTACAAATAGATATGGAAGGATATATACAATCCATTCCATACTCTATTTATAGATTTGTCGCGTTCGATACATGGCAGTTCGCGTTGTAACTTTCACACGTGAGAATCTCCTGAACTCCTTCGTGCTTCGTGCGTTATTCACAAAATTCCTTTCAAGAAAAAAAGGATACGATATGAAAGGATACAACCCTTTCCATATTTTATTTACAGACAAAATTTCTCGGTACACCGCACTTTAAATCGCATTAATCGCATAAATTCTAACTTTTACCGTTTATACGTAAAAATCGTGGACCCCTTTCGTGCCTACTTTATTCACAAATAGATATGAAAGGATACAACCCCTTCCATACTCTATTTATAGACAAGATTTCTCGTGAGATTCACTTGAATCGCGTTGTAACTTTTACACGTAAAAATCGTGGCCCCCTTCCTGCGTACTTTATTCACAAATAGATATAGAAGGATACAACCCCTTCCATTCTCTATTTTTAAACATTATTATTAGACAAGGTTTCTCGTGTTCGTA